TGTGAAGAAATTAATTTTCGTAAAAATATTTTTATCTATTCAAATCGTAATTAAAGACAGAAAATTGAGGATAAATTGAACTAATTGACAAATGAATAATTTTTTATGGGAGTTAGGTGTAGCAATTGAAAAATAGGGCAATTAGTACCTATCAAATTTGAATATAAAAATTGATGGTAAGAATAAAAATAAAATAAAAAAAGAGAGAGAAAGTGATCGTAAGGATAAACAAACCAGGGAAGACAAATTCTAGATCATTGAATATAAGAATTCGGAGCCTATAGGGAGTAAAATGTTAACATAAATTTTAAAACGGTATATGAAATTTAATTTTAATCAAAATGGTAAATTGTTGGTAGAATAGCGATTTTGCTTGCTGAAAAAAACAAAATTACTGCAATAGCAACGATTCGGTAAATTTAACTTTTTCTTAAAAAAATTATTTTTTTAAGAAATCGCTGCAATGGCAGTGATTTCCAATATAATTTTTTTTAAAGAAATCGCTGCCTTGGCTGTGATTTAATTTTAAAAAAGTGAAAAAAAATCAAATAAATAATTTAGGTAGCGATTTATTAAAAAAAATTAAAAAGATTTTATATTGGAAATCGCTGCTATTGCAACGATTTCTTAAAAAAATAATTTAAAAAAATAGTTATTTAGCAAATCGCTGCTCTACCAGCGATTTTACCGTTTTGATTAAAATAAAAATTTATATAGCGTTTTGAAAATTTTATTAACATTTTATACCCTTTTAGGCTCTGAACTCTTGAATATAATATGACTTTGATATATCTCACCTTCAACAAATTAAGATGTATATATGAATTTGGTTCCATAATATGAAAATATGTTATATTTAAATTATATTTAGAAGTATTTTATTATTAAAAACGAGATAATATTGTGAGCTTAATATAATAAACAAACAATAAAATCGGGAAAAAGCTAATAATTTCAAAAAATTGTTGATATTCATCAAGCAAATATACAAAAAAAAAATTATATACTTTATATATACCACATAAATGATTAAATAGTGAGACGATTAATAATTCTCATAATTTATGAATGCTCACAAATAAATACATTAAATATTCACATTTTAAGTAATTAAAAAGTGAATATACATAGTCAAATATCACAAACACTAATTAATATGACTAAAAAATCTCTAACCAATTACAAAGTTATTAATATGCCGTCTATCTTATATTAAAATAAAATAATAAGCACAAAATTAAGAGGAGGAAAATACCTTAACCCACCCCAACTAAAATCCCCCAAAATTATGGAAAATATAAAAATACCTTAAAACAAGAAAAAAAAATTGGAATTTTCATAGCCCATTGAATCTTTTAATTTTAATTGTTAGGATTTACAATCCCACAAAACCTACCGTTGAAATTTTCTGTTTACAAATTTGATAGGAATGTCATTTTCTTATCTAAAGTTTTTAAAGTACCAAAAAGCAAATTTAAAATTTTTACATCATTTTCTCATTTCATCATCACCACTTAGTCCAAATAACAAAAAGAAAAAGGAAAAAAGGTATTATAAGTAATTTTCGATAACAATAAGATATTCAACGATTTATATAAGCAAAGTTATTATACGATTGTATAAGTTGAGTTATTAAGTCTTCCGCAATATTGGTAGAGGGTGAGTCCATTCATATTCTTATATGAATCTATACGTGCACTTATATTCATCAAGATATATATTAGAGGCAGTCAAAATTATCTTTAGTTTTTTTGTATTTTATTAATGTTGTTTTTGATTCACCAGCGTGATGAGAGGGTATTAAGTCTCTCACTTTAATATGAATAAATTATTTATAATTTGATCTTCTTATATGAATGTGACATTTTTCTTTATAAATTACTTTTTGAAATTAAGTTAGGAATTAAAAAAGAATTTATTTTAATGCTAGTGGTAATAAAGAAAAAGAGAATGACTAAGAAACTAGCACAATAAAAAAATATCTTACTTTTTTGTTTGTTTGTGTTGATTTGTTCTTGAAAACAACATTGCCTAAACAAACAATTAATTTCATTTAGTGTCTGAATTTTTTATTTTATTTTTTGTAGAAATTCAGGTCAAATTAGATTTATTCCTTTGTTTTTGGAAAAAAAAATCTAATTATTTGATGCTATTCATTGAGTGAGATTAAATACGGTCAATTCGTGGAACTAAACCAGAACATACAAATAAATTCTAAAATTAAACTTTGCATAAACGAAAAATAATATAATTAATATAATTTTTTTTGAATAGATCGAAAACTATGAAATAAATTTACGATATTTTGAAATTGAAATTAAGCACATGAATATCGCAAAGATCGATCTTATTTAATTATCTAAATATTTTTTGAAGTACCAAATCATCTTTATATTAAACGTGACATCACAAGTCATCTTATTAACTATCATTGGTTATAGTGTAATAGTGGGAATGTTTAATTCTTTAGTAAAGATGTTGAATGTAGAAAAATTATAATAAAAATGTATATGTCTAATCTTTTTCTTAATAATAAAAGAGAAAATGTATAAATATACTTTTTAATTTATATGATTTATTGTATAAATTTTAAATTAACAAATATGTCAAAAAAATATATCAGTAAAAAGCAAAAAGAAACAAATTTACCAACTCATTAAAAAAATGATGCATAGATATCCATTTACTCAAGTACCAATTATGTTTAAAACCAAATTAATCGATACATGACATTAATTTTTTGTGAACACATTTATTGCTTTGAATAATTGCTCATAACCTAAATTTCAAATAAGAAAAAATTAATCAAACTATGAAACTTATTTCAAGAAAATAGGATGATTGATTTCTCTCGTCAAAATAGAGAAAATTCATTTTACAAATAACATTTTATATTAATAATTCACTCTTCAACGTATTTCATTTATATTTTTAATCTATAATCTTGATTTTAATTAGTATCTGATTAAATTTTAATGCAACACATCAGATCTTTATTTCTATTTCGTAATCTCCATTATCCTCACCAATCGTCCATACTCATATTTCCACCTTTACCTTCATCTCCCATAATATTTTTTTACTTACGTATCAGACACAACAAAAATAAATAAACACACCCTCAAAGTCAACACTTTGACATAAAGAGTAATGGAAGAATCTCTCATCTCTAGTACATTTTTTTAAAAAATTAAAGGGCTTAGATTAACTCTCACACACACCATTTTTCTATATATTTATCTCTTCATTTCATTTATTTCTACTTCTTCCCTTCCAATTTCTCTACAAAAAATAAATAAATTATATTATAAAAAAATTGATCTTTTGTAAAGAAGAATATGATAGGTAACATGAGAAGAACAATAAGCACAACAAGGATCACCGTAGATGTGATGAACAATGGAGAAGGAAAACCGTTTGATCTTGATCTTGGTACTAATTATGGATTTTATGGTCATGATCATCAACACGTGTCATCAAAATATCACCATAGAAGTTCAAGTTATCAAGGTTTTCATCATCAAATAGAAGAAAAATCTCATTTCTTGACAACTTGTGGACTTTGTAACCATCGATTGACACCTTGTCGTGATATCTACATGTATAGGTAATTAATTATATATATATATACATTGACAGTGTAATGAATTTTTGTTTACTTATTATCGATAGTGTATTGTAGGAACATTAACATGTTTAGTGTTGTTTTATAAGTGATGTTAGGATGGAGAAAATAGTGTATATATGAACATGGGTGTGGCTATGTTATAGTCAGAGTGTTTAAGTGGACATCTTATATTAAAAAATAATTTCGTATATATAAGTAAAATAATATACAAAGTGATTAAATAACATATTCTAAACATTATTGATAAAATAAGATATTGTAAACTAGTGATTTTAGATGCCTTGAAAGAGTCGGTGTTTAGGATGCTCGAGTGTTGCATCTCACTAGAAACACTTTTCAATTTTTTCCACTTTTTTAAAATATTTTTCGTGAAATTCCTAACTCCGCCACTAAATGAAAATACAATTTCCAATAACTCTTCCGTCTAAGTAACGCATGTAAAAATACAAAAAAGGAACACAGTAATAAAATAATCATATTAAAAAATAACAAATTATACTAAAACCTAAAACAACGTATAGTAAAAAAAAATCAAAAAGTAAGATAGAGTATATTTTTTATTAAATCGAACCGCCAAGAGTTTATTAAAAAATACTCAAAACTTTTTTCTAAATTGTTGAAAATATATGTAACAGACTATTTTGAATTTACCTTTCAAATGAGGGATATTTTTGTTATTTTCTTATTTGATTTATTGCATTATTATGTAGTAGGTATGAAGGATTCATTTTAAAATATTTGTGGGGCAACAATTATTGACATATACTTGGTATATATTATTAATCATCTTAACATTTTAGATGATTAATCAAATTGTTGATTAATATTTTACAATTTCATTACACTTAACCCTTTTTATATCGGTTACGTATAAAATTATACTGAATATATTATTTTTATTCGTGAACAGGGGCGATACAGCATTTTGTAGTATGGAGTGTAGGGAACAACAAATGAAAAGTGATAAAAGAAAAGAGAAATTAAAGCTTCTTGTCCTTAAAAAGAAGACTGAAAATTATCAAAATTACTCAGAATTGCCCTTTGCTAACTCTGAAAATTCTGGCAAGACTAAAACTATTGTAGCAGCTTGAAGGGTAATTTTGGAAAAAGAAAAAAGAGAAGAGAAGAAAATTATGTGTATTTATTTGTATTTAAGTAGAAGAGAAATAACTTAATTCGTATATATCAGTGTAATTAAACTTCCTATGAAATGTTTATTGTGTTTTTTTTGGGGTAAAAGTTTTAACAATGTGTTTCGTACGTTTTTACTCGTTCAATATTAAAATAACGTACGCTCTTTAAATAGCAATAAACAAAGGAAAATTATAAGTTTACTATATCACCTTTTATATATAATAAATTCAATATTTTGTGAAATGATAATAATTAATAATTAGGAATTACGTGATAAATGAATCTCTTGATTTTTTTTAACAAGACAAATAAGTTAAGTATATTGGACAGGTACATAGAAGTCGATAGAGGGAGTAATTAATTACATATTTTAACTTATATTCCTTTCGGAGAAAATGAGATCTCTCGTTTACTTGTAATTTGAATAAAAAAAAAGTTATTTTGGAATCTCTATTGTATAAAAATAAAGATCACGTATGAACCATTTACACAATGAAAAGAAAAAAAATGATCTGATCTCTTATAATGCCACTTAATTTATTATTTTGTTGGCAAGTTTGGGACAACTTATTTCGAGATTAATAATTAGTATCGGGACAGTTATCTCTCCCCTTGGATGATATAATAATTCCGAGACAATTCATTCTAGGATAAAATAAGTAAATGATAAAAATATCCCTATAAACCCTTTTTATACATCACTTTTCACATTTATGAAGGATACTTTTGTAAGCAAATAAATTATTTTTAAAATTCATTATTTTCAATACAACAAACCAAACACTCAATAAAAAGAATCTTAGCATAACTTATCCATCATAACTAATCTCATCATAACTGATCTCATAACAACTTAAATTCAAACTAAACAACTCATTGACTTTTAATTTATCAAAAATTGTACTTGTAAATTACCATATATAAGTAACCTAATTGTGTAAAAATATTGTATATTGTTAACAATGGCGGAACCAAGAATTTTAACGAAGGATATGGAGATTTTCTTCTCGATTATGCTAACAAGTGCACCCATAATAACTACTACATTTAACCTCTGAACCACCCTTCGCTTAATGTGCCTACACCTGATTAGTATATAGAACTTAAACTCTTGCGAAATAAAGGGGGAAATGTGGATTTCTAAAACAAAATTTAAATCACCATGTTATATTTTTTTTTCCAATAGAAACAAGATATTGCTGGCTCTATCTGAGCTAAAGCAACCAACATACAATTTGGAGATAAGAGGGCCAAAAACATGAAGAGAAGAAGTTGCAATGAATAAGACTTTGGCCCTTTTAAGCTCTCCTACACTTCACAATCATGCCACACTTAACTTAATTATATGATGAGAAAATGGAAACAAAATATAAGATATAATAGGGACAAAAAAAATTAAATAGAGAATGATCTTTTCTACAAATGCAACTACACTTGAGTTAAGTCCATTCTCTTCTAGTAATTTTTCTTCATCTGCATATATATTTTTCATTTGTATTCCAAAATCATGTTGTTCTCTGGTGCCAAACCAACACAAGCTCTCATTATATTCTCAAGCATTGCCCTCTGCTTTGAAAGGGCATTCACCACTGGAGTACCTGGTGGTACCTGTTGTCCAATTCACAACTACAGTTAATGAAAGGAAAAAGAAAAGGCAGCTCGGTGCACGAACTCACTGAAAGATTGTCACCAAGAAAATCAACAGATTAAAATAAAAAAATCGTTGGTAATTAAGTAAGAGAAGTACAAGGAAACATCATGTCTATGTGCCGGATCCTCCAATACTTCTGAAGGATTCGACATGCACATTTGGAAGAGTCCAAGCAACATAAACAATACCCTTTGTGATCCCCATGTGAAGTCTATTTAGTTTGTTGTGACCTATGCATATTTTTTAGACTATGTCTAAATGGAGATCATAATAATAACTGCTTTTGTGTTGGCATCATTTCTAATTTATCTTGGACCACAGATGAAGGAAATTACTTGAAGAGAATTCACATCAGCTATAGCTCTAGCACATGCTCAGACCAAACTAAAGCAACTTCTTTTCAACACTTGATAATTGCATAATGTTAACTTTTAAGCTATTTGCTCAGACTCTTCAAAGTTCCAACGGTTGTATGTGGCATCCTCCCAACGTACTGTATTTTTGGAGGATCCTACACGACTATGACAATATTTTTGGAGAGTCTGAGCAACATAGTTTTTGAGTCTATTTGAAAATAATAAAAAAAAAACTCATAGAAACTTTACCAGGGGAGCCTTGGTGAGGTAGCTGAGAATAGTAGCCACAGGGTGGAAGGAGTGGAACTTCCCCTGAAAACAGAATCACTTCTCATCAGAACAATCACACAACATTTAAGGGTACACACAACATGACGAAGTGTAAATCTTTGAAGACATTCAGAAAGAAACCGACCTCCCCTTCAGCTTTGAGCTGAATGCGAGTGCTGAGTTCAGCGAGAAGGACCAAATCCAAGATAATTGGAGCTGCCAAAAGAGAGTCCTCACAAGTGTTGTGCATAACTATAGTGCTCTTTCCGCCCATGAAAATCTCTGACATGTACTCATCCATTGCCCTCTTGCTGTCTCCAACATATGGAACATACTGAAATACAAAATCAAACATTTTGACAAATTAATATGCCTGTTTGTATACATTAACTTTTAATTTTCTCATGTTATATTATTTACCTTGATCACGACAACATGGTCAGGGTGCTCGCCAGATTCATAGAGAATGGCGTTGCTAGCAACCATGTCATCAACAACATTACTTTTTGAGATCTCCTTAGACCGGAAGGTTTGAGGAGCAGAAAGATTCATTCCATCATTGTTACCCAAGTGATTGTAGCTCACTATTGACGTTGGCTGTAATACAAACACCACGACTTTCAGCACGGCTATACTACTTCTCTATAAAGAAACTCCATCTTCCAATGACAAGTATGTTTATGTGCTTAATTTATGTATATAAAGTGCTTCAACATTTAAACATTCAACCAGAATTAACAGCAAAAGACATACCTTAATACCGGCTCCAACAAGGAAATCAACCAACACGGACTTCATCTTGGTTTGACCACTCTTAAAGTCATCACCACCAATTAAAGTGTTTCTCTTTATGGCCAAATCAATAAGACCTGTGAAATTGTATCAGAAGAAAATACTTAAAATTATAGAAGCTAAGCTATAGCTGGTCATCAGCAGCAATTACACTTTCAATAACTCGTTACAATTGTTATCGGGATTCCATACCTGGAACAAAAGTGTTTTGAGGGCTTCCGTTGATGAAAGGCACATTTTCCATAATACAAGCAATAGCATGCAATGTAGAAGGAGATATTTCAGCCTCATTTCTATCCACAGCAGCTAAAAGGTTTTCCATGGTGTCATTAAGGCCAACAACCACATTACTGTACCTTTCGGTGTTGGCAGTCCATAGAACCACTATCTTGTCTACCTTGTTCTTCTCCTTGAACTCCCTAAATTACCAAGCAGACATGTAATTTACACTCTAAACTAAAAATCACATCATTTTCCAGAAAAAACAGACAACTTTGTTCAAGATTGAAGACGGTTAATCAAGATTATAACTTTTACCTAATATCTTTAACAATTTGTTCAACTTGTTCTTTCTTGGTTCCTTTGATCACGTTGTTGGCACGTGCTTCTTGGTTAGCCGCAATGAAGTCAGGGTCATAGATACCAGGAAGGGGAACCATGGATTCCATGTAGGGCCTCAGCTGCTTTTGCAGATCAACTTCGAAAACCTTAGCCCTGACCATAGCATCTGCCAAATTCATGTTGCTAATGTCCCATCCTCCAAATACTACATCGTCTGGGTTGACCTATATCACCATCAGATCAAATATATCAGTCTGAATCTAACTAAGACAGAGCAACTTTTCATGACTAATGCTATAAAGAGTTCGTTAAACTGTCTGGGTCGTTTAGTTGCAAGCATAACAAATAATAATCCCAGGAGAAAAAGAGACTATTTTTTATCATGTGTTTGGTTAAACATTTGATCCGGTATAAGCAATCGCAGGATTATCATCATTTACGTCTTTTTTTTAGTCCAATAAACCAAACATTTATCAGTACAAGTATATCAACTAAATATTCAATCACATCAACCCCCTAACATTTCAATTACGAGTTCAGTAGAACCCACTAACTTTAATACAAACCCTGTATTTGTGTTAAAATATCCACTTAATAAGATCAAAACCCCCACAAATTTCTCCTTTTCGATTCTAGAACTCATAAACTCAAAATCCTACCTCCGCTAACTTGTTCACAAACCAAACAACCCGAAAAGTGCTTAAGTATATCCTTTTAGTATTCAACTATCCATAAAGCCACATAAAGTAACTTTACTAAAGGCAAATTAACCAATTTGGGAATTAGAATAACGTTGGTCGGTTGTTTACCTGAACTTTCACCTTATTAACGAGGATTCGATTCTAAACCTTATACTCCCCCATCCCCACACCCCCAATTTTGAAAACACAAAACAAAACAAGGTGAGTACCATGGGAAGGAGGCTTTTGAAGGGTGCATAGATCTCTTCGCCATTGAAAGACCCAACTCGAATGGTTGATGCCTGAGTAAGAGACCCAAAATAATTGGCTTGTTGCACTTTTTCTTTCGTTGCCCATGAAATTCCTCTGCCATAAACAATCAAAACCCATTACTTAAAATCACAAAATCTCATCACAAAATCAACATAAAATTAGATTCTCAAAACAAAACAAAACAACAAAAAAAAACTCACTCTCGATTCGCAATAACACCTCCAGTCAATGTTGAACCATTGTTTCCTCCCCATCCAACAAGCATAACCCTAAACAAATCACAAATTTCTTCACCCAATTTTTTTTTTGAAAAAAGAAAAATGAAATCTGAGAAAAAAAAAATGAAGAAACTTACCCCAATTTTGGCACATGGGTATCAGTTTTAAATTCATATTTGACAGTTTTAGGCTTAACAATCCATTGATAAGTTCCATTTCTCTCTTCATGAACAAGCTCTGTGGTTTCATAATCATACACAGAATGAATTTCATTCTCAATATACTTCACATTTGGGCTTTCCACCTTAAAATTTTCAATAAACAT